GGTAGTCTAGATCTGAGGCAGCAACATAGCCAATGCCACTAGTCCAATGAGTGGATATGTTGTCTCTCTAATTTATACTGGTCCGCGTAGGTGCCCCATTGCCTGATGGCAAGTGGATTTTATTCAGGGCAACCAATTTTCATGTCCAACTTGCCCCGAGGGCAAGTGGTCAAAAAAGTTATGTTACACCACTGATGCTGTATACAAATTATATACCTGAAAGGTAACTTACATCATATTGTGTCATGTAAATACTAATACTTGTATTCCCACAGTGTATTAAGATATACAAATGCACTTGTGATGCCCAAAGAATTGCCACAAAAAAACCCATAAACCACAAATCAGTCAATTTCAGTAAGTAGGGCACACTGGGGCACATTGCAGCTCAATGGGTTAACTAGAGACATTGTCAGATTTTGGTTAATAACCATAATTGCAAGAGGTCAGTACAGTCTGTAACAATAAGTAATTCAGGAATTCACACAATTCTCAATAGTTAAATGATTATCGGATTTCGTGTTAAATGATTATCGGATAATGTTGAGCATCAGGAATATGTATAATATCCTTCATACTTTTATAATAATATTCAGGCTAAATATCATAGTTATTATTTTATGTACTATAGTTTTATCAGGTATAAAGATACAAGGTGAAGCCAAGTACCTTTAGGTCTGATAAAGCATACACTGCGAATGTTTTAAATTGCTCAACTGATGGTCACCAACAACAAATAGTACTTTATTACAAGGAGGCAAAATGTATTTAAATTAAAAGAGATGAATAATCTTGTCACTTGATACATTTGACACCAGGTGTCTTGTACTTGTCCATAAGAGACCCCTTGTTATTGTATCGTGTTTTGAGAATGAGTTCAATTTTGATATTTGTTGTTGATCTGAGCAAAATATTGATTTGCCTACTGAGGCACACAGTATTGAACAGTCAATCGTGGTGAGTGCATGATGCTGAAGTGCCTGTTGTATGTTGTGAGTGATTTTGAGCGCCTGTTGTGATGAGTGACACTGAATTGCCCCAATTGTGGCTCAGGAAAAAATGTACCTGCTGACTTGTCAAATAATCTCCTTATATAAATAATGTTCTGGGAAGTAATTTGTGTAATTGATTACAAACAAAAACAAGAGCTTGTTAACAGTGTGAGGAAATTAATTCCATCTCATTATATTATTCAGCCTTGATAAAGCATATGGAGGCTTTCTGTCTGATTTGACCCTCATGCATGTAATTGTTTGGGAATGCCTGATCATTAAGATCACAACATTTGTTTTGAAGCTTGGCCTTTGAAATCTAAACCCAAAGCACTATATGTATGTTCACAATGTTCTTGGGATAAGAATGAAAATCAAATAAAATATTTCAACTCAATTAAATTCAGGAAATGTTAATTTAACCACGGAGGTCAACCAGGTTATACTCAGGGCATATGGCTAACATAAGCATTTAAATTCCAAGTGCATACGATGTTGACATTCCTTGTTTTTCAGACATTCTTTGGGTCTTGTACTCCCTTTAACTGTTAAATATACTGTATGATATTGACATTTGCAAGAAAGATCTATTGTAGCAACAATAACTATTAAATGTTTTGATGATGATGGATATGGTGTATTGAGAGTCCATATTATTAAATTAAAGTGATTTTACATATCTGTTTCACAATCGAGGCAGCAATTTCCTTGCGACAGTAATTCATAGTATAAATACTTCTATCGATCCATTCGTTTTGCACTGTTGCTTTGTCTATTTAATAAATCTCCTTTACAGTTCAACCAAGGTTCTCAGAGCTAATTTGAAGACAATTTCAAATTTATTCAATATTTTTGGAAGAACTTTAACAGATTTTTTCATTTCAAAATAGATTTTTGTTCTTTATTTGTCGATTTTGGTGTTTATGCAATATTGACGAATATATTGTAGCTAAAGCGATCCACGATCTCACCCCCCTGTATAGTATTTGCTCCGATATATCACGTGACAAAATAGTCCACAATTTGTGGATTATTTCACCAGCCTTTACCAGGGCCTTAGCTGCCCTTCGCATCTTTCCTCAAAAGGCCCTGGGGACGAGGTTGGGTAGGGCCCTGCACTCGTTTAGGAACAACAACACTCACAATCAATTGTGATTGCATTTGACGCAACAATATATCATACAGGGCATCGTCCCCACGAATAAATTTCGGTATCAAACCCTTTTCAATCAAAATGTTTTCCAAATCTGTAATTTGCCATTCCGCCTTTTCAATAGGTAAACCAACTCCATTGTCACACTCTGTACTCAATTTAAAGGTTTACCACTCATCCACGAAGAAACAACCTCTTCCCACTTTGCTTCCTCCATCTCGACAGAAAAAGCGCGAAAATTTGAAATTTATCACCACCCCCAAGCATGACATCATCGCGTCGCGAGGTTTTAGGTTTGGGTCAATATTTAATTACATTTCTATTCAATAATAACACATTTTGTTAGCTTTTGTCAGAGTTTGAAGACAATCCTCGTCTCTACACTTGTGCGGAATATTACACACAGTCACAGGGCAGTCAATATGACAGTATGTTCGTAAGTAACAAATGTAACACACAAACTGTCACGCACAGTTATAAAAGTTTGCCGATTTACAAGCTCAGGCCAAGTCGTAAAGTTCAATGTGTTCAGCCATGTACAACAGTTAATGACTTTTGCTATTCAACCCGGATTAGTGATATTCAAATTTCGCCAGGTTACTAGTCGCATAACCATGCAATTAAGCGTTGTATCCAAGATTGTTTTATTTCAAAGCTAGCGCAATCCACTTGTTTTAATTCCCATACACAGATTTTTACGGCTTCTTGCACAATTTCAGGCTCACAAAAATCACTAACTTTAAAAACTAAAGTCAAACAAGCCATAATTCGACCAAAATTCGAAGGTTCTAACTCCTGATAGATTACACACAAATTTTCAAGTACGTTCTCTCTTCCAATACGAGCTATCATGCATTCAAATAAACCCCCATGCTTTTCCAAAAGCAATTTTAAATGGAAACGAAAAATATTAACACTCAATTCAATGTTGTTTTCCCTTAAAACCCCCATTATTAACCCTTCCGCCATCTTGAAACAAAATGGCGACTAATCGGAAAGCTCTCGTTGTTTTATCATCATCGGAGAACCTTCGGAAAATACGTCATCGATTATGCAAATTAATTATCGGAAAGCCCTCGTGGTTTTATCATCATCGGAGAACCTTCGGAAAATACGTCATCGATTATGCAAATTTATTTGCATAACTCATGAATTATTAAGGGTAACTAGGCTAATTATGCGCATAGAATGGGGTTCATTAAGCCCGAGATATAACTACTCCTGCCACTGAATTTATTGTTGGTACTGTAATTACTAGCATTTTATGATCCCTCAAGAAGAGCAATAAGTTGAACTTTCTTGAGTTTAGGTAGTCCTTTCTGGTGAAGGGCCTTAGCCTTGACAATTGTGATCAATTCCTTAACAGTAGATTTTCTATAGTTGAGAGTATTGCTATTATTAGGACCACTAGAGCTATTATCTTCAGCATCAACAGGAACAGGGGTGGCAGGATTTAACATAATCCTCTTCACACTTCTATTGTTGATATCTCCTTCCCAATACTCACATTTCCGTTTAATGTATGTGCCTTTCTACCTTTCTCTTTCTTTCAAATCCCATTGCCTGCTCTCTGTGCGGATAATGTCTGTTGCAGCATCCCACTTATTTGATTTGGGAAACATCACTCACTTGGCATCATCATTATTCTTTTCAACACCTTGCCCAGTAAATTGCTTGAAACAACCATAATTCTGAACAAAATATGGGACATGATATACCATAAGATGCATATATGGTGTTACCCTTGCCCTTGTATATCCACGTCTAAGATCTTTCAGTGAGCAAAATAACTTGATCCATGCTTTTCCTTTGTCATATATGTTAATAGCACAATCATTTGTTAAATTAAAATCAGATATAGTGTTATAGTATTCCTCAAATGATGTCCATATTTTGCAAACAGTTGGACATGTGTCAGGATAGAGGTATTTGTGGAGTATTGTAGGCAATTTATTGAGCAATTTTTTTTTGGCTACCGACAAGGTTTGTAAAATCCACAATTTTACTAGCAGAACCATCAGCATTTTTCTTGTATCTTGTGACACTTCAGTCATTGTTTTACCCTAGCAGTTTAGGGATAGATCTTTTTCCAGTATTTCCACATGGTCTGCTAACTCTTTGCTTACTTTTTTTAAATCCACATTACTTGCTTTTTTATTAACCAATGATTCAATACGTTTGCAATCACGTTTTAAAACAAACCATCCATCAACCACAGTTGAATTCAGCAGATCAATAAAATTTGCATCTTCACTGGATACTCCTTCAAGAACATCTCGCCACAGTTGTAGTATTGGCCATGGAATATCCACGGTAAACAGAATTTCATCATGTAGATGAAGCTGTCGATTAACATAAGAAAGAGGGGCTTCAGAACCCATTTTTAACTTATAATCTACCTCTCGCTTTTTGTATTCTTTCAAAATTTCCGACATTTTCGCGCGAGAAGAATTCAAAATCTACATAATATTGCGCGAAAAATTGCTCTATTTTGTCAGGATATTGCCTGGAAACTACTATTGACCTACTAGAGTGACTGGAGTATGATTATGTAAATATGTCAACAAGAAACATGGCGATTTTACAAAGCTTATAAAGTGAACTTCGTTTTGATGGTCGTTCTGAACCTTCGAAGGCGACGTTAAACCGAAATGTTTAATACATCAAAAAGGCCCACATTAAAAAGCTTTTGGAAGTAACTTGCAAGGGTCTAATGTGGGCTTTTATGAGCACTTTGGAAAGCTTGAATACTCTGGAAGACAGCGCGAGCTGCGATAGCCGCATCGCGTACAAGGTTCATGGTCAAATTGGACAATTTTTGGCACAAGTTTGACAAGATTACTATGGTGTATATAGAAGAATGCTGGAAATATGCGACCAAAATACATCGATCTCGGGAAGTATGTAGAACTATAGGTAAGCTCAAGTTTTTGAGTTTAATAATATGTAGCTTAGGTAATGGGACGAACGTATCGAGCTGCAATCGGTGAGAAAATAGTCTAAAATTGGCCAAAATTTTTATTTTTGTGGCTTTTACTCTAGAATTATAGGTAAAATTATTATAG